ACACATGCGAGTCGATACTCATATTATGAAGCTGTTCCAGACCTCACGCCGCTAAAAGAAGCTTGATTTCTCAAAATGACCGGCGGGGTCATTACATGAGCGAGGTCGAGCTTCTCTCTTGACGAAGGCCGATGGCCGTAAAGGTGTTATTTCGAAGCAATGTCAAAATTATAACCCGTTGTGAGTTAGAGCAAGGTCGAACTTCTCTCGTGGCGAAGGCCGATGGCTGTAGGGGTGTTATTTCGAAGCAATGTCAAAATTATAACACGTTGTGAGTTCGAGTGAGGTCGAACTTCTCTCTTGGTGAAGGCCGATGACCGTAGGGGTGTTATTTCGAAGCAAGGTCAAATTATAACCCGTTGTGTTATTCCCGTTGGGGGACATTACTCGTCGCCATGTTGTATATGCGTGCATCACGGCAAGCTCTGGTCCGCTTAATTTCACTTTCATTCGGAGAGTACTGTGCGTTTCCTGGGTGAGTCCAGCTCGCTCAATTTTGCTTTCATTGGAGAATGTCACATGCTTTATTGGCGAGTCCCAGTTCACTCAAATTTGCTTTCATTGGAGATCGTTGGTCAAACAATTTTTTAGTTTAACAGTTATTCTGTACCGATTTGTTTCTCTTATTTGTGATTACACTGCGGTTTAGTGGGTTCTGCTCGGTCATTAGAGGTGGTATGCTACGGAACACAACGCGATGTTTTGGAGACGTTAGTCCCTTACTTGCGTACCCCTGCGAGTGCTCGCATTCCTGTTTTGAATCAACAAAAGAGTGAAGATAAACCAAAATAAAATTATCTGTTACCTCGACTTAATGAGCCGATGAAGGGAGGAATGGCATTGGAGGGTTACTTGCTACGCCTAGTGCTCGTATAATGGCTTTTGATTTGGCAGCCGCGTTAAGTTTCGCCATTTAAATGCGTCTAGACTTCTTGTGAGTTGGGTTTACCTCTCCCGTTTGGACATCGAGGTCGAGTCCTGGTATTTCTAATATGCGTACATAATAAGGAAACATGTCATGATTTGTTTATAGACCATCTAGCATGCGTGATACGAAAATAATACGGGATATGTCTGACCTCCTTAGGGATCATGCAGTGGGTTATCATCCCTTCCCCAGGGGTAGATACAAGGCGAACACGTCGCGTGGGATCGCGGTTATATCTAGCACATAGTGATCGTGGTCCTACTTAAATCGTACGTGCGACTCGCTAAACCCATCGTTACGGGGAGGCAGGGGTCTCGTATAGTCGTCGGTTATGGTTTTTATTTCGTATAGGGATCTGACCTAGATTGATACGGTTATTTACAAGAACTTATCTACCCTTTTCAAGTAGGCGTTGCCACTGAAGTAGTGAGGTTGTGACAAGCTGAAAGTAATACTTGACTGGTTTTAGATCTAAAGGAAACTAAAGAATTTAGCTAAGAAATCCCCACAGACGACGCCAAATTGTTTGACCAAAAAGTGTTAAACTCTTTGATTAAACCAATTACTAATGAAACAGAAGGTAAATCTTGGCAAAATATAATCAACTTCAGATCTAGACATGATGGGAACTAAAATCAAAGGGACCGAGTGTATACCATGTTCTTAAGAAAGATTACAAGATGCTCAAAGTAAAACAGCAAGCTTACATCTTTGATATATTCTTCTATGTTTGTACAATCAAAGAAGATAAGGGAGGAATCTCGTTGGCAACTACAGGATTCAGCATTATTGATTCATTGATGGAGGAGGCCAAGGTTTATGATCAGAAATCTGGTTTTCTTCCTTTTTCTCTTAAGAGTTTTCTCTTCCGTTTTCTCCCCCTTTCTTCTTCTGCCTTTTCCTCTTTATATACTGTCTATTTCTCCTTTTACTCAATGGTTCTTGACTAGCATGCCTCATGACTGCACCCTTCCTCATTCACCCCAATGTTACGTTCCGTAGTGTGAGCCTTCTGATGACCCTATCTCGGCCACAACTGTGATACTCGTCGCCATTACGCCTCGTGGGTACGACCATGGCTGAGTCGACTTCTTACCATTCCTATTGATAACCATTTGGTCAGATTTTGACCCATACAGTAGCTAGCTGCTAACGTTTTCCAAATGGCTGTTATATAAATTGTACCATATCTTCCCTCTTTTTCTCACTTGAAAAATTGCTCAATACTTCTTAACGATGGCTTAGTCGATAAAGTACAAAACCTTGATGTAAACTTATCTTTTTTTCCTCTGAAACAACTTATAAACTTTCTTGTCGCTCTCATCTTATGTGCATCTTTTTTGACTAAATTTTCTATGCCTTCTCGTGAAATGACAATATGAAACTCATAATATGTGTTGTGAGTTAATATCACAGGAACTCTAGCATTAGTGTTTGAACCTCAGTCGGACCTTAGTAGCCGTCTCTTTTTCATCATTTGTGTAAAATAAGTAATCATTTTATGTCAGAAATTCAGGTCTTAAAAAGCTTTTCGTGTTATAAGGTTTGAAATTCTGCAATTAGTGTTACCATGTTAAAACATATTACGTCCTTTTTTCTTCTATAACAAAAGGTACACTAAAAATAGAAGACGAGAACAAGTCAAAACATGCACTACGTGAGACGAAAGGCAAATAGTCAAAAGTCAAAACCTACGAGGCACAAACAAGACAAGGTTGTACTTCGGCTATGTGGAGCCTAGTCACCGTCCTTCTGCATCACATGCATCTTACGTCTGATTTACAACATGTGGACACGTGTCCATTCTACAAGTATACTTTAGGAAAATTCCCTTTTTTTTTCAACTTCTAGAAGATTATTTGACAAGTGGAATAAAAAAGTGGGTGCCATTTCCGCCAAATTATATTATAAAAATATTTGGGTAACGCTGATAGGAAAAAAATTATGTGAAGTTGAAGTTTGATAAGAGCATTTGGTTGTTGAAGATTTATATTTGTCACTGACTTAACTTGAAAAGTTAAACTTTTGTGAAAATTATCATCTCAGTTGAAATTTGAGATGTCCCTCAAACAAAAGTTTCAGTTTTGAAGTTTTTATTTCAAGTTAAAGTTGACACAATGAATTGAATGTTAAAATATATTGAGTTGCAGATAATATTTCAGGTTGAAGTTGAAATGATGTATGTTTAAACAAGCCTGAACAAAAAATATTCATAGTTTGTTTTATTTTATGTGACAATATTTAATTGAATATAAGCCTAAAAGTGAGTAAAGTTTTTATCACATAAAATAAATATATAAAATTTATAATAACCAAAACGATTATTAACATTTTTTAAATTTCTTTTCAATATAATTTTATAGTATATGTCTTGATAACTACTACTACTACAACAACAACAACAAACAACCAAGTTTGATCCCAACATGTGGGGTGTGGGGAGGATAATCTGTACGCAGACCTTACCTCTATGTAATGCAGGTAGAGAGGCTGTTTTCAATAAACCCTCGGCTCACGAAGGGCAAGAAGAAGAAGAGGGAAGCAAGGAAGGAAGAAAGATGAAAGAGAAAAAAGTGAGAGATAAAGGATAAGAAGTATCAAATAATAGCAACATAGTATATGTCTTGATACTAACAAAATATTTTAAGTACTCACGAACTAATTGGTAGAGCACCGTCATAAATTTTCTTTTCGTGGACTTATACATGTTAGTACTCCCTCCGTTCCAGTGTATATGAACCTATTTCCTTTTTGTCCGCTCCAAAAGAATGACCTCTTTCTAAATTTGAAAACAATTTAGCTTAAATTTTCAATTCTGCCCTTAATGAGAAGCTTTTATAACCACACAATACTCTGGCCGCTTTTTGACTTGTTTAAGATATAAATTTCGAAAATCTTTATTTTTTCTTAAACTCCGTGCTCAGTCAAATATGTTTAGATAAATTGGAACGGAGGGAGTAATTCTTTATTAATATAAAAATATTAAAAGGAGCATCTTTTTCTCCTTAACACGTGGGATGTAGTGATTGGTTGTAGCCATAAGACCGTACAGCCTTCATTTGAAAGGTGACTAGGTTTTACCGATGATTATCACAACAACGACCTATGACTGGCTATTACCGGTTACCACTTTCAACGGTTGCCATCTCATCTCCCACTGTTTCCTCTTGCAAGAATCCCCCAAGACAATCAGTACTATCCCCCAGAGCCTACCTTCAAGTCCCTAGATCACTACTCCTACACTCTTCGTTTCGTCCTTCCTGCTGAGACTGAGAAACCACCTAAAAACCCGGAACAGGAGGAGATGTTTAGGAAGGTGAGAAGCCTGGAACAGCCGCTCAGAAACATGCAAGGGCTGGGAGGCCAAGTGAGCGTAGCTTACAAAGATCTGTGTTTGTTTCCTGACGTACAACTACCTGTTGGGTTCAAAATGCCCAAATTTGACTTGTATGACAGGCACGGAGATCCCGTGGCCCACTTAAGGGGATTTTGCAGCAAAATGAGAGGAGCTGGTAGGAAAGATGAGCTGTTAATGGCATACTTCAGCCAGAGCCTTAGTGGCGCGGCATTGGAATGGTAAACTCGTCAGGATCATAGCAGATGGTATACCTGGGATGATTTGGCCCAAACATTCGCTCGACATTTCCAATACAACATAGAAATTGTTCCGGATCGTTTGTCTTTCACTAAGATNCATGTTAGTACTCCCTCCGTTCCAGTGTATATGAACCTATTTCCTTTTTGTCCGCTCCAAAAGAATGACCTCTTTCTAAATTTGAAAACAATTTAGCTTAAATTTTCAATTCTGCCCTTAATGAGAAGCTTTTATAACCACACAATACTCTGGCCGCTTTTTGACTTGTTTAAGATATAAATTTCGAAAATCTTTATTTTTTCTTAAACTCCGTGCTCAGTCAAATATGTTTAGATAAATTGGAACGGAGGGAGTAATTCTTTATTAATATAAAAATATTAAAAGGAGCATCTTTTTCTCCTTAACACGTGGGATGTAGTGATTGGTTGTAGCCATAAGACCGTACAGCCTTCATTTGAAAGGTGACTAGGTTTTACCGATGATTATCACAACAACGACCTATGACTGGCTATTACCGGTTACCACTTTCAACGGTTGCCATCTCATCTCCCACTGTTTCCTCTTGCAAGAATCTTACAAATACTTTTTTCAGCACTTCTTCTCTAGTCTTTCTTTCCCCAAGTCCACCCCCCTCTCTGCTTCTCCAAGGTATGCCCATTTTCTCATTTCTTTCATTCATATTAATTATTTTTAACATAGTTAATTGAATTTCCTTGATTTCTTTTCTTCTTAAGCACTTCATATTTGAGCTCAATTTTATGTTGAAGTTATTGACTACGACTGTTTATAAACTTGAAACTTGTATGTAGTCTTTAAATAGTGACAAAGATTCAATTTTTTTTAAGCAGAATTTGCTCTTGTTTTCTTGATTTTAAGGGGTTGTTAAAGTTTCTGTCTTTTTGCTATTTTGAGAGCTATTACTTGTGTGTGTTCCACCTTTGAGCTTGAGTTTGTTATGATTGTTGCAGATATATTATATATTTATGACTGCAACTTCCATTTGGCATCATTGACATTGAGTTTTGGTTAGAGAAGTTTAGCAATTTGGTTGAAATGGATCCAAGGTTTAATGGAAACCCGAGTTCTTTGAATGATTTTCGACTAGTGAACCAATCATTACCTATTTCTTCAGATGGGAAGATGATTAATGGTCCGAGATTTGAACTTATTTATCCAGATCAGAAGCTACACAATGGTCCTAGACTTGAAAATAGTTTTAACCTACACAATTTTGGTGGTGTTGGATATATAAACGGTGACCGCTTACCAAGTAATCTAGAATCAAGATCTGACCTTGGTGTTGAGGACGACTTGAACGAAGATATTGACTTCTCGGATGCAGTTTTGAGTTATATAAATCAGATGCTTATGGAAGAAGAAATGGAGGACAAGACAGACATGCTTCAGGAATCGTTGGAACTTCAAGCAAAAGAAAAGACATTCTACGAGGCCCTTGGCAAGAAGTATCCACCTTCGCCAGAGCAAAATGCGTTTACTAATCAGTACAATGAGAGTCCTGATGATTACTTCTCGGGAAGTATATACAATTCCACAAGTAATACTAGTGAAAATAGTGGTAACTTAGTTGATTCAAGGGCAGTTAACATTTCCATGGACTACAATTCTGCTTATGTCGAAGGCCTTTCATTTCATAATACTTCAGTATGCTCATCAAATAGTGGGAATACTATTGTAGATGGGTTCTTAGACTCTCCTGTTAGTTCTCTTCATATTCCTGATATATATAATGAGAGCCAATCTATTTGGAGCTTTAGGAAAGGAGTTGAAGAAGCAAGTAAATTCCTCCCAACTAATAATAAGTTGTTGAACAATGACTTGCCGTCTCTGGAGTCTAAAGGGGAAGCTGGTTATGTGGAGAAAAATGATGAGGGAGAGACTTCCCCAACTGAGGCGAGAGGGAGGAAAAATCCTCAGAGGGATGATAATTATACTGAAGACGAAAGAAGTAGCAAACAGGCGGCAGTTTTTACAGAATCAACACTTCGGTCTGAGGAGTTTGATATTGTCTTGCTGCATAGCATGGGAAAGGGAGAGGAAGCACTGGAAGCTTATCGACAGAACCTGCGGAATGCTAAAAGCAAAGCCACAGTGCAGATACCAAAAGGATCAAAAGGAGGAAAGGGCCGCGGGAAAAAGCAAGGTGGAAAGAAGGAAGTCATAGATTTAAGAACTCTTATGATAAATTGTGCGCAGGCTGTAGCTGCTGATGATTCCAAGAGTGCGTATGAACTGTTGAAACAGATCAGACAACATTCATACCCTTTTGGAGATGGAAACCAGAGATTGGCTCATTGCTTTGCAGATGGTCTCGAGGCGCGCTTGGCTGGTACCGGTAGCCAGATTTATAAGGCCCTTGTCAGTAAACGAACATCTGCAGCCGATCTTTTGAAGGCCTACCATTTGTATCTTGCGTCATGCCCATTCAGGAAAATCTCAAGTTTTGCTTCAAACAAGACGATCATGATAAAGGCAGAGAATGCAACAAGGGTTCATGTCATTGACTTTGGCATCCTATATGGATTCCAGTGGCCTACATTCATCCAACGTATTGCAGAAAGAGAAGGGGGCCCACCAAAGCTTCGTATTACTGGTATAGAGTTTCCCCAACCAGGCTTCAGGCCAGCGGAACGGATTGAGGAATCTGGTCGCCGTTTGGCTGATTATGCTCGGTCCTTTAATGTTCCATTTGAATACCATGCAATTGCAAAGAAATGGGAGACCATCACAGTAGATGATCTAAAGCTCGACAAGGATGAATTTCTCGCTGTCACCTGCTTGTATCGCTTTAAGAACCTGTATGATGAGACTGTGGTAGCTGACAGTTCAAGAACTGTTGTTCTCAACCTCATAAGGAAGATCAATCCCGATATCTTCATCCATGGTATTGTCAATGGGGCATATAGTGCCCCATTTTTTGTTACACGATTTCGTGAGGCCTTATTCCACTTTTCAGCACTATTTGATATGCTTGAAACTATTGTTCCGCGAGAGATTCCCGAGAGAGGGTTAATTGAGAGAGAGATCTTTGGGAGGGAAGCCCTGAATGTCATAGCTTGTGAGGGGTGGGAAAGAGTTGAAAGGCCAGAGACATACAAGCAGTGGCAAGTCCGTATCCTGGGGGCATGGTTTACGCAAATACCTTTTGAACGGGAGTTTGTGAACAAGGCAGTAGAAAAGGTGAGGTTAGGATACCATAGAGATTTTGTAATTGATGAAGATAGCCAATGGTTGTTGCTGGGGTGGAAAGGAAGAACAATTTACGCCATATCGTGTTGGAAACCTGTTTAAAGAAACTTGAAACACATCCTTCCTTTGGAAACACCAAGTCAGCCCATATATTTGCAAATCAAATGCTGCAAAACAGTTTGTAAGACTCTTGATATAAATTGTATAGTTTCTTTTTTACATCTTGTTCACTACTCTTTAACTGACACAATTTGCCGATGTCATAGGTAATTGGCTGCTCATGTCTTGATACATACAATAATAGAGACTGCTTGCAGAAGCAACAAGTAGGTCATTCGGTTGCTAAACCCCTTGAGTTCGTAAATGTGACCAGCCCAAAAAATGCCGCTTACAACTTCAACAACCAACATATAATCAGACAAGGTGAGGAATTGGTACATGTTCTTGGAGGCGATCGTCAGTGTATAAAGCGAGTGACTTGATCCTTAAATGGAATGATTGATTGAATCAATATTGCATAGATGAATGACATAGGCCATAAAATCATACATTGAACAGCTTGCGGACCGGCCATTACTGCGTGGTGTGCATCTGATATGTATTCAGGAACGCTTTGAACTTAGCAATGCATTTTTTTAAAAAGAACAATAATTTTATTGATGAATCTTTGTGGGTACTATTCTGTTTGCCCGTTGATTCTTCTATCCGGATTGTTCTCCGTGATTCGAGGGCTTAAGTGCAATGTATTTCTCGAACGTAGGATGATGTGGACTTCCTTGGGATGTATTTGATCTCTGTGAAAAGGAAGATCATCTCTTGATCTCTTCGTCGGCTTTGAGAAAGACAATATTTGATTTCTTTGATCTCTTTGAGAATATCCAGGAGTTTATGGGATTTTCGATATACCTTAGCAGTACATATTTAACATTTGAAAGTTTGTTCAACATACTTGTTTTTAGATCTGTTTAATTTGTCCATTTTATGATGTATTAACGGTAGGAACTTAGGTGTCCAAGTAGAATGGTACAAATTTGGAGGAATAGCCGACTCCAGCTAGCTTGGAATTTTGGATTGATGTTCATGAGGCTAATATGTTTGGTAATTTGAGTTGTAATTTTTGAAAAATGAGGCTAAATCTTCATTTGAACTTTTATAGTCTACTTTGTCTTAATATTATTGCATGGTTCTTATTGAAGAAAAAACATAGTATATGATTTCTCAAAATTAAATCACCTTAATTTTGGAGGTTGTTGCAGTTGGTGCTTTCCTAGTAGAATCTGAACTATAAGTAGTGGTCCCTAAAAAAAAACTCGTAAAATGAGAACAAAATCCTCCATGATTTGCCTTGTTAGGGATTCCTTAAATAATTGCAATAAAAAACTATATGCGACAAGTTGAGAAAGATTCAAGTCTAATTGATTAGTAAAACACTTGGAAATCGTGATGTCGTTTAGTTGAGGGACAGAAAGGAGATCTTATTAGAGGGAAAAATTTAAAAATGGCCAGATTTTCGCCTGGTCAATCAAATTTAGCCACATAATCAAAAGTCAACGATATTTAGCCGCGAATTAGCACGGTAACAATTTCTTGACTAAAATACCCTTATGCTGTTTATCAAATTTACGCAACTTGACATTATATTCTTCTTTAGAACAAAGTTACGGCGGTAATCTGCAAATCGAATTAAGCTCTCTCAATAAATTTTTCGATCACTTAGTGGCTACAACATCATATTCTTCTTCGAATTAAGCTCTCTCAATCTTCCGGCGTGAATCTCGAAATCGAAGTAAGCTCTCTCAAGTATTTGTCTGGTTATTTGAAATTATCTTGTTTGAATTTATTCTAGATTCTTGTAATTCAAACCAGACAAATTCAAATTATAAGTAATATATTTGTGTGTAGAATCATAAATTTTTTCTCATTCTTCGAATTTTCTGGTCTGATTTTAATGCTTTAATCTGTATAATTTGTAGAACATGACGGTAGTAGAATTTGCTGGACCTTTATAAATTAATATCTAAACCTGACATACTTCCAGGTTTTTATACTGGAAATATCTAATAAATTAGTTATACAGTGCTTGATTCCAAAAATGAACAAAACACAAGTATTATACAACGAAGGTTTGGGAATTAATTTGCAAAACTCAAAATACTCCAATGTATTACACTAGAAGTATATTTCATTCAAACTTTTATATGTCAAATCAATAAAGTCTGCAGAATAAAATGGCACACAATATAACGCCAGTATAATATGCTGGAGATTGTTGAATTAACGTCAAAATCTAAGATTTTCCTAGGTTATTATACTGGAAATGTTTAGTACTGGAATTATCTAATAATAGTATACAGTAGCTTGATTCCAAAATGAACAAACACAAGTATAATA